GCACAGTCGGACACAACCCTTCCTCAGTGGGGCCATCTTTAATGGAGTACTTCTTGGTAGAGGTCCAGTAGATTTTGGTCCTCTTTGGTAAAACTAATACCACCTAAGTTTTTAAGTCAGAAGAATTATTTGCTAGCTCTTTGGAATGAGCTATCTATTTATTCCTCCCCCAAAACCACTGCGGAAACAGATGAGGTAATAACTGTGGGCTCGGGGATTCCAGGTGTTTCCATGGTTCTACCACAGAGCAGCCTGATCTCGTCCACTGTACTTTCTAGTTGTGTACTGGAGGACAAGGTCTCCTGCTTTGCACCCCCTTGCCTTGTTCTTCGGTAAACCCCCTGGAATAGCATGGTGCTGCTGGCCGGTCCTGTTCACTTTGCCTGGCTACAGAGCTGCCCTCCCACTCTCCAAAGCACAATCCCATAGGTGCCCCTGTGCTTTAGACCCAGCCAGGCTCCCCGCACCCAAGTTAGCTTTCCTCTTCTTACTGATTCATGCCCTGCTCCCCTTGGCCACCAACCGTCCCACAACCAGGACCAGAGAGACACAGCTTCCAGCCCTTTTCTAGAAGCTAATGCTGACAAGACCATGGCAAAGATATTTGAGATTAATGAGAACAGCTTCATCACAGCTAATATACACATGAAGAATTTATTTTAATCTTTAGGTGTGACATATCATTCAAATATTGCAGAAAAGTAAGTTTAGCTTGGATCACTCATCTCTCCTTACAAAGAGATGATAAATGTTTTGGAGCTAAAGGCAACTGGCCAGAAGTTTCAGGATTGCTGACCTACTCCCCTTCCACTCTTTTCCCCCTCTTTCTCCTGCCTGTCTCTCTTCCTACATTCTTTCACTCTTTCCTTTGTTTCTTTTTGTCTTCGTGTGTGTGTGTGTTCAAAGAGCACTTGCAGAATCCCTCAAAGGAAGTCATTGCTAATCTATCCGTGTATAACATGAGTACTTGTAATACCCTAGAGCATACCACTTCACCATCCTTTTAAATGATGACTTAGCTATGTACATCACCATGCTGTAATTTATCTAACTGATCTTCTAACATGGCAAATTGTGATTCTTTCCAACTTTTGTTGCTATTACAAGTCATGCTGGTCAAGGGTTAACATCTGTGCAACTGCTCCTCAGTTTTTCCCTGCTTGTTCATCTTCCTGTTTGTCTCCTCAGATAATTCTAGCTGGTGAGGGGCTGGGGATTTAGCTCAGCGGCAAAAACCGCCTGCCTGGCAAGCGCAAGGTCGTGAGTTCGGCTCCCGGTACCGGCGAAAAATCAAAACCAAAAAAAAAAAATTCTAGCTGGTGTGCCTTCTCCTCATAAAAGTACACTGCCCAGCATGATGGTTAAATAAATTTACTGCCTTGGCTATAGTATGATAAGCACTGTACCCCAAAAGTTAGATTCTAAAATCAACCAACCAAAGTTTGAACACCAGCTCTGTGGCTTGCTTCCCTTAGAACCTTGGACAGGCTATGTAACCCATCTGAGATTCATCTTCTTCATCTCTGATTTTGGATAATAACAATAGTATCTCATAGGATTTTCATAACGATTAAGGAAATGGGGTATGCAAATTTCATGGGAGTCTATCTAGTTCATGAGAAGCTTGCTCTGTATTTTAATTCATGCTATTAAACCTGTTTCCAAGGAAAATGCTACAGGCAGAACTTAGGTTTGTAACTGGTTTTGGCTTTGTCTTTATTTTTTGCCAGGAATATGGGGAGCAGAGAGGGGAGTACAGTGGTCTCAGAGGTGAAGCGCATATTAGGTAATGTGCTGAATCCTAATGTGTGGCCAGGCATCAGGGTGTGTAACCAAACTACCCACCCCAGCTGGCCGAGCTTCCTCCTTAGCAGTCAACTGGCTGGAGATAGAAAGCCCCCAGACATCTCACAGTGAGTTACCAGCACTCAGCCCGTCTGTGAGTCATCCACATGCGTGAGAACTCAATGCTTTGCCTTTATTTCTGCTTTACTCCAAGGGTTCCTTTCTCTTCTTTCTTTCTCCACTGAAAGCAGAGAAAAGGGAAGGTCTCCCATTGACTTGAGCTTTCCCTAGCTCAGCCTCCTGGTGCTCCCTTGGCTCCTCTGGAGCCTTCTCTGGGCACTCCCTGTCCTTGTCGGCGGGGTTCTGGCGGCAGGGCGGCCTGGCAGGACCGAGCAGGGACTGAGTATAAACTTGGGAACTATTTCAGGAGACAAGAAAAAGCAGGGAACTTGAGGTCATTTGTTCACTCTCAACTACTAAAAACTGAGTACATCAGAAATATCTGAATTAAGCGTTTTTGCTGCCTTTTAATTATTAGACCAAATCCTTGCTTGATAAGAAAATAACTTCAACAATAAATCACATTTGTGTGGAGGAAAGACCAGGCCTTTTCCTTATCTAGACAGCACTGTGGTGTCAAGTGCCGAGAGCAAAGGTACACATGGCAAAGTCCACCCTTAGATATATGAGGAGTCTAATCAAGTCCTAGGGTGAGTGAAGCAATCCCGTTCTTGTGCTTAGGAGCAGGCAGTTCTGACCCACTTCTTGGCTTTCGTCCCTGGCTGTCCTTTATCGAGCTGTTGCTGTGGGGGACGGGACCCTGCAGGGAGGACCAAAGCCCAGGGAGGGTGGGGACTGCCAGGGGCCACCCAGCAGATGCTCAGGCTTGGCTGTTAGGGAGCTTTAGCTCTTAGGGAGCTTTTCTGGGAGCCGAATTCCACTTCAGCCCTCCTGCAAGGACTGTTTCCTACATATATACTTTATGATCAAACTAGAAGTTACTTTCTAAAGTGGAAAAAAAAAACAAGAGGACAAAACTGATATAAAGAACAAGTGCTTCTACTTCAATATCATATGCTAGAAATCTTGTAGACACTGGAAACCGTGAAGTGCTTTCACTGCAAAGAAACCTAGAACTCATGGTGGTTTTCTTTTTGTACATAAAAAAAAAATTTTTTTTTTGAGGTGGAATCTCAATACACTGCCCAGGCCAAACTTGAAACTCCTGGGCTCAAGTGATTCTCCTGCCTCAGCCTCCTGAGTCACTGGGACTATAGGTGTGCGTTACCATGCCCGATTTTTAAAATTTCAGCATCTCTGCTAGGTATTCACGAAAAATACAAGCAAATAACATTACTGTTTCTGAAGCCTCATGAAGGTCGGGATTGTTGATCCAGACCTCCTCATGGGTCACAGAGGAAAGTAACAGCTATGCATGCCGCCCCCAGGTCTCTTGCGAGAGACACTGAACATCCAGTATGGGCTGTTATAGAGTCGTTAAAAAATGAAACAGCCCTACTGTGTATGTTATGAAAGGTGATCATGGCAGACTCTTTAGAAAAATAATGATGCAACTTTATTCAAAGTATGATCTCGTTTTCGCAAACATAATCTACATGTAAATATATTACGTATAAGCAGCCTTCATTAAATGCTAGATGAACACATTACCTCTGTGAACTGTAGATTTCCCGAGGCAGTAAGATCAAATAAAGTGGGAATGGCGACAGGGAAATAAGCAGAAGAGTTTTTACTTTTTAAATCATTCACCTCTGCATTGTTTGGGATCTTGGCCCTGAATACATATTTTAATAATATTTCATACAAAAGTATATTTTTAATCTTTGTATCAGAAATGAATTTCTCCAGGTATCTGGTGATTTGAAACTCTATTCCACACACAAACAGAAAATGCCAATAAGCAAATCGTACAAATGACAAGTAGCGCTCTACCAGAAGAAACTCTCAGAATTGTAAAGTGCTTCACACTTACAAATGTCAGCTGTCATGTATTACGGATTACAAGAAAGATAAAATCGAAATCCAAGGCTGCTCTGCGTTAGAAATCATTCTCTGTTGTTGAGTGATAGTACAAGTGGAAGGAAAATAAGGATAGTTTTTAAAGCAGCTAAAAGTACGCAAATCTTTTCATCATAATGCTAGAGAGCGACACCGCGGCTGTGTTGTAAAACCCAGTGTCAGCGCCGCCCTTGGGCTTCCTTATTAAGAGTGCGAGCTTTACACAGGGGGCTGATTTCCGTGAAAATGAATCTGTTGGCTAATGAACAGGATGACTCATGTTTGTCCTGAGAAGCAAATGTGGACAGGGACACAGGCAAATCATAGCCAAGCCTGGCCACAGGATGCTTACAGTCCCGGGAGGTGGTTCAGGAGCAAGGCACAGACTAAACCAGGATTTTGGAACGCAGCGCTTGGGTGGCCTCTCCAAAGAGAGGTGTTCTGTGTTCTGCTTTGTTCTAGAATCGGAAAATCATTGAAAGCAAATGAGAGAGAGCCTCAGTGCAGAGAGGAGAGAAGAGGCCACCGAGAGAGAAGAGGCGTGATTTCTGAGGGCAGCCCTGGGCGTAGAAGGATCCTGTCTGGGGTACAGGAAAGAGGGAAGAGGGCCTGAGGGCAGGCAGCAAAGGGACGACAGGAAGCCGCTTGTGCCTGTGAGTCCCTCATTCTGGAAAGAAGCGGCTTTCCTGATAGATACAGAAAGAGGGGTGGGGCCTGGGGTAATTGAAAGATTGGGAACAACCGCTGTGAAGACCTTAAAATCAACCAGGAAAGCGGAGAAGGATGGTTGGGGATGAGTAAAGCAGTACTGAAGTGGCAGAATGGCATGAATTTTTAATAAAACTAACAATAAATATGTCTCATCATTTTCTCCATCGGTGTGACAGCCAGGCGCAACGGCAAAGAAAGTCCAGTTGGCTAGAACAGGCGGATGTAGAATGAGTGTAGAAATCAAATGATTCTTAAAATGAACGCTTCCTATGAAAAGTCATTGGAAACGAGTCAAGTGATTGCACCCTTGTGTATTTCACTTGATAAAATATTTTCCCCTTAATTCTTAGAGTCCAATCGGATAACAGTATTTCTGTGAAGAAGTGGGAGCTGTACTCTGTCCACTGTCAAACAACCAAGAAACACCAGTAGGATTACCAAAGTTTCCTGCTCAGAGTTGCTTCTCGTGCATTTTGTATTTTCAGGCTGGAAAAACTCATAACATCCTTTTTGGAAGACCAGGATCCAGAGAGTAGACTAGAGGTTGGCGCAGATATGCGTAAAATTCATCACTGCTTTCACCATTTAAAGGTAAATGTAAATGTTTCCTCCCACAGAAGCCATTTCCTGCCATGCTCAAACTGCAATAAAAACCTTTCTAGTTGACCAACCCTTGAAAAGTTCGCATCCAGCTTCACACATCCAGAAAATGATGTGAGCTTTGAACCAATGCTACAATTATCACTTTCTTCCAAGTGCGCATCTGACTTGTCAATAAATAGCCTCAGACCATGGCTTTTAATTCTCTTGCCAGGAACCTTTACCTTCCACACAGAATAGTTCCACGTTCAAACAGCAAGATCAAGAGAAGTGTGACCTACATTGTAAACACAATTTTGATTCATTCTTCCAATTCTCTGCCTTAGTTTTTACCTTTTTTTTTTTTTTTTTTTTTTTTTTTTGGTTTTGTTCCGTGATTGTGAACTTATCTCACGACCTTGCGCTTGCCAGGCAGGCGCTTTTGCCGCT